CACCCCCCGCCCCCCACCCCGCCCACACCCGGGCTCACACTTGACGTCCAGGCTGGCATAGCCCTCGAACTGCAGGGTGCTGTTGGGGAAGGAGGCCTGGCAGCCCAGCCGGTGGCCGTTGGCCTCCCGAGAGGGCACGAAGTGTAGCAGAGACACCTGCACCCAGGTCCCCTCGTCCTCGCGCAGCCGGCCCAGCACGGCCGGCGCCCCCAGCCCCTCGTGGCCCAGCCAGCTGAGCTCTGGGTGCAGCTCTGGGCAGTTGTCCGGCACCATGCAGCTGACCTCCACTTCTGTGCCCGCCACCACCTCCGGGGGAACCACGATGTTGGGGGTGTCTACGTGAGGTGGGGAAAAGGAGGGTTGAGGGAGCAGCACTGGGCTCTGTGTCACCTCCACTTTGTCCAGCTCCATTCCTGGTATGTCCCCTCCTCTGTCCCTGGATACAGGATTCCCTTCAGCCTTCCCTCCTCCTGGTTATCCTGCACCCAGAAGCCGTCTGCGGATCTAACCAGAGTGTAACAATAGTGAAAATACCAGTACAGTGCCCTGAGCACTGCACAGTGCTGAGATTGCCCAGTCCTTCCAGCAAAGCTAGGAGGTGGGAGCTGTTATTTTGTTCATTTTTCAGATGAGGGAACTGAAGCCACAGCAAGTATGGGATAAAACTGGGCTTCAAGTCTTGTCTCTCTGGCTTCAGCCTCTGTGCTCATGACACTACGTTGTATTCCTTAAGAAGCTCTCTCCTCCTGCATCTTTGCTTTGGTTTTACCCTTCTAACTGTGCATGTGAGTGTGTGTGTGGTCTATGTGTGTGTGAGTATGTGAGTATGTGTATGGTGTGTGTGGTATGTGTGCAGTTTGTGTGTGTGTGGTGTGTTGTGCGTGTAGTGTGTTGTGTGTGTGTAGTATGCTGTGTGTGTGGTGTGCAGTGTGTGTGTGTACAGTGGTGTGTGTGTGTCAGTATAGTGTGTGTGTGTAGTGCATAGTGTGTGTGTAGTGTGTTGTGTGTGTGTAGTATGCTGTGTGTGTGGTGTGCAGTGTGTGTGTGTACAGTGGTGTGTGTGTAGTGCATAGTGTGTGTGTAGTGTGGTGTGTGTGTGTGTGATATGTGTGAGTGTAGTGTGATGTGTGCAGTGTGGTGTGTGTGTAGTCCATAGTGTGTGTGTAGTGTGGTATGTGTGTGGTGTGTGTGTGTGATATGTGTGTAGTATGCTGTGTGTAGTGCAGCACGCATTTCGTGGTAGTATGTGTGTAGCATGGTGTATGTAGGGTGTATGTAGGGTGTGTGGTGTGTGCAGTTTGTGTGTGTGTAGTGTGTTGTGTGTGTAGTATGCTGTGTGTGTGGTGTGCAGTGTGTGTGTGTACAGTGGTGTGTGTGTGTCAGTGTACTGTGGTGTGTGTGTAGTGTGGTGTGTGTGTGTGTGATATGTGTGAGTGTAGTGTGATGTGTGCAGTGTGGTGTGTGTGTAGTCCATAGTGTGTGTGTAGTGTGGTATGTGTGTGGTGTGTGTGTGTGATATGTGTGTAGTATGCTGTGTGTAGTGCGGCACGCATTTTGTGGTAGTATGTGTGTAGCGTGGTGTATGTAGGGTGTGTGGTGTGTGTGGTGTGGTGTGTGTGTAGTGTGTGTGTGTAGCATGGTGTGTGTGTGGTATGTGTATAGTGTGGTGTATGTGTGGTGTGTGCGGGTGTGTGGTGTGTGGGGGTGTGTGGGGTGTGTGTGTGTGTATAGTGTGGTGTGTGTGGTATGTGCATAGCGTGGTGTGTGTAGTGTGGTGTGTGTGTGTAGTGTACTGTGTGTGTAGGGCGTGTGGCATATGTGTGTGTGTGTCGCACCTGTGCTGTCTCTTTCTACACCGGGGCTGGCATCTGGCTCCTCCT